TTTTCTCTCCTATATTTTCTCTTTCTTTCTCTCTCTGCCTCCCTTTTCTTTCCCTCTTTTTCCCTGACAATCGAATCAGCAATATATAGAGTTCCTCCTATCTATTGTCACAGGTTTTGGAGTACCGTTCTTACTTGAACTCACATGGTAGGTTGGCGGCTGGGGATTTTGTGGATTGCACATAAATCCCCAAATGTCTATATCTGGCTGAGGTGAAGGGATTGTGAGCTTGAGAAGAAAAACTCCTTGGGCGGGGGGGGGGGAATGTTTATCTTCAATTCAAATTTATTTCAAGCATTATATAGAAACTAGAGGCCCGGTGCACAACAATTTGTGCACTCGGGGAAGGGGGGGGCGTCCCTCAGGCCGGCCTGTGCTCTCTTGCAGTCTGGGACCCCACAGGGGATGTCCGGCTTGTTTCGGTCCGCCTCCCTCAGCCCGGGCCCAGGTCGTTCGTTCCCGCCTCCCTCAGCCCGGGCCCAGGTTGTTCGTTCCCGCCTCCCTCAGCCGCCCGGGGTCAGGTCGTTCGTTCCCGCCTCCCTCAGCCCGGGCTCAGGTTGTTCGTTCACGCCTCCCTCAGCCCAGCCCAGGTTGTTCGTTCCCGCCTCCCTCAGCGCCCGGCCCAGGTTGTTCGTTCCCGCCTCCCTCAGCCGCCCGGCCCAGGTCGTTCGTTCCCGCCTCCCTCAGCCGCCCGGCCCAGGTTGTTCGTTCACGCCTCCCTCAGCCCAGCCCAGGTTGTTCGTTCCCGCCTCCCTCAGCCCAGGCCCAGGTTGTTCGTTCCCGCCTCCCTCAGCCGCCAGGCCCAGGTTGATTGTTCCCGCCTCCCTCAGCCGCCCGGCCAAGGTTGTTCGTTCCCGCCTCCCTCAGCTGCCCGGCCCAGGTCGTTCGTTCCCGCCTCCCTCAGCCCAGGCCCAGGTCGTTCGTTCCCGCCTCCCTCAGCTGCCCGGCCCAGGTCGTTCGTTCCCGCCTCCCTCAGCCCAGGCCCAGGTCGTTCGTTCCCGCCTCCCTCAGCTGCCCGGCCCAGGTCGTTCGTTCCCGCCTCCCTCAGCTGCCCGGCCCATGTTGTTCGTTCCCGCCTCCCTCAGCCCGGGCCCAGGTTGCTCGTTCCCGCCTCCCTCAGCCGCGGGCCCAGGTTGTTCGTTCCCGCCTCCCTCAGCTGCCCAGCCGGCTTGATCGTTCCTGCCTCCCTCAGCCCCCGGCTGGCTTGTTTTGCTCCCACCTCCGCCGCCCAGCTTGTTTTCGGCCGCCTGGCTTACTACGCTCCCAGCGGATATATGCAAATTAACCGCCATCTTGGCTGACAGTTAATTTGCATATACTCACCGATTAGCCAATGAAAAGGGTAGTGGTCGTACGCTAATTACCATGTTTCTCTTTTATTAGTGTAGAAGATAGCAGTTGTCTCTGCCCACTGACAGGGCCCTGGCAGTTCAGGTCCTATGAGGAGCCTGCCCCTTGTCCGTACGCCATGTAGCCCAGCAGGAGCCACCTCCAGCTCCTTCCTGCCCCTGAAATGATCAGTGTCTCCACTGGGGACAGGCATAGCAGGTCTCAGCCAGCCTTGTCTTCCACATAACTCAGTCAGATCCCTGTGGTTTCTGAATGGCATTTCTTTGTCATTTTCTTTGACAGGCCTCCAGTCACCAACTTCTGTCTGGTTTCATGGTCTGTTCTATCTGTTAATGGGAATAATATTTTTGGTGAACACTGTTTTGTGTGTGATAATACATAAGAAACTGCAAAGGAACGAAACGTGGATTTTAGAAATTCCTTTGGACTCCGATTATGGGAAGAAGGTAACTTATCGTTGAGAAGATAGACATTTAGAAGAAGAGCTGAAACAGCAGGAACAAGAACAGCTACAAGAAAGGACATTCCAGAAGCTCCAGGAGCAGCAGCAGCAGCTCAGTGGGTGCCCATAAATCAAGGCAGTCCCTACCTCTTCCTCTTTGTGTGACCATTTGGGCACAACACCCAAAAGTTAAAAGACACTAGAACTGAGTCCCATGGCACCTGACCAACTCTTAAATAAAGCAAATAAATGAGCTGACTTCAATGATGATAAACTCGGAAATTTTATAATTGGATGATTTGATGTGAGACCTCCTCTAAAGCAATCTTTAAAAACTAGAAGTCAAGTCTAACCCGATTATCCTATTAAGTATTTTGAGCAATATTCCTGGGGACAGGGTGAAAAGGTAAGTCTTTTGCACATGTACAAGAGATTAAGCCAGAAAGACAGAGACAGAGAGAGAGAGAGAGAGAGAGAGAGAGAGAGAGAGAGGATATGAGGGATACAAGCAGGAATAGTAGACCAAAAAGGAAACATAACTTGCAAATGACTTCTGAGACACTGTGGAAATGAGAACTCACATCTCTGTGGGGCTCAGGATGGCTACTTGATACCTTTTCTTTAGCGCACCAGCAGGGAAGGTGTCCATACATCTTACAGGGATATAAGGGAGTAACTCATGAGAAATGGGCGCATTATTTTTGCCTTTTCATTTGAGGCTTTCTCATAACCTCCGTGTCCAGAGATAACCAGGGTTCTTGCTTGTCTGTCCTCTTTCCCTGCGCTATGGAAAAGCAGAATGTAACGGCTGCTTTTCCTAAGAAATTAAATGCAGAGCTCCAAGCTTGGCACTGCAAGGAGAAGCTTCAAGTAGGGAGGGCCAGTGACATCATCAAGTCCCAATTCTTACCCCCAGATTTACTTTATCTTCCTGATTTTCTGGATGAGTACGAACTAGCTTCAAGATACACTGCTCTGACCATGGCCAGTGTGGCTCAGTTGGTCGGAGTGTCATCCTGGGCACCGGACGGTTGCTAGTTTGATTCTCTGTCAGAGCCCACACCTAGCTCGTGGGTTCAATCTCTGGGCGCGAGGCAACCGATCTCACATTGATGTTTCTCTCAAGCCTCTGCCCTCCCTTCCTCTCTCTAAAATTAAGATATGTTGCTCTCTCACTTGGGCTCTATTTTTTGGATACAAAATGTTTCCCTGCTACTCCACAGCACAGTTGAGATAAAACTGAAATATGTGAATACGACTTAACTAAAGCTCAGAAACACACACACACAAAAGGGTATAAACAAACCTAGCAACATAATTCTAGATTATTTGGTTGAAAAAAACGTAGCCTATCAGCCAAACAAGGACACATTCCTGCCTTGCCCCTGGTCTGGCTCCACCGGACAAGGCTCACCTCCAACACCCACCGCCTGGAAGCACCTTCGAGCAGCTTGGGACGCGAAGCGGATGGAAGAGCAGCTGAGTCCCCTGCCTCCCTCGCCTGTGGACAACGAGAATGTCCTCTCCCCTTCACTTTCAGAAAAATGTATGATAATTATCATCTCCATAGAAGCCCAACGACTCCGACATTTTTATTAAAGGGATATGGTCATATATGATAGCTGAAGTCTCCTTGATTGCACGGAAGATTTTCTCTTGGGGACCAGAGAAACAGGAAAAGGAGACTGCAGGAA